GCGATTCGTTCCCTCGCGCACTGTCTCCTTCGAATTCTCCACGGAACGTCCTCTCGACGTGGTTTCCAGCGAAACGCGATAAAATCTGTCTACGCTGATCGCGAGTATCTCTCGAAAACCTCTCCGGAGCACGCGTTTCGCGTTTTCGCCGGTATACCGTCGCTCGATCCGTTTCGATCGCCTTTCCGACATCTCTCTCGATACAGGTTTTCCCGGAAAATTTTCCTTCTTTCCTCGTACTTTCTATCCGCCCGTCCTGAACTTTTCAAAATTTCCCGAATTATACCGTCTATCGGTGGGCCGTATCTTTCGCGTTATTCATATCCGCGGAATAATGCTGAATAATTTCACCATAAATACGTGGCGCGTCCACGTGGGCGTAAAGTAACGATAATGCAAGTAAATAATGGACGCGGGAGTTTTATTACCTAGGCGGTTGAATGGCAAGATAGAATCTACGTGTCCGCGGCAGTACAGCCCCCTCGAACACCGAACGCGAAAAGGGGAAGAGAAGAGAAGAGAAGAGAAGGGAAGGGAAGAGAAGGGAAGGGAAGAGGAGAGAAGAGAAGAGGAGAGAAGAGAAGAGAAGAGAAGAGAAAAGAGGAGAGGAGAGGAGCCGGGACGCAACCAGACGAGAGACCAGTCACTCTCGCGAGTCGGTCTCTTTTCGCTGAAACCTCGAATCTCCGAGCGACGATCGAGAACGTTTAGGAAAATTATTCCGTAACGTTGTTCGCGTTACCTTTCCTATTTCTTTATTTGCCGTTTCGCCTGCCGTCGCGTCGTCGAGATACCGACCGTTCGTTCGTCGACCGGCGTTATTTCTCTTCTGCCGTCGATTAAATAAATCCTCGCCTCGCCTCGCCTCGCCTCGCCTCGCCTCGCCTTGCCTCCACAACGACATAGTTGTCTTCCTTTACGACTTTATATAGACTCCACTCCTTTGTCTCTAGCTCCAAGCGAATTCTCGTTTCGTTCGTTCCGACTATTCAAACTTGCGAAATAAATAGTTATTCGATATATAGGTCATCGATCGGAGTACCAGCTTCTTGCTCTCGCGATTCTACGCGATCACGACCTCCGTGATTCGGTTACTTTCCACCCACCGGTGGCTTCTCGCGTTTACCTTTCCTCGCAGAAATATCCTACGCGAGTCGTAGTCGATTTTTCCTCGAGTTTCCACGGGGCGAGCGAAACCGGGGTGGTCGCGTCGACGTTGCTTCGACGTGTCGCATCGGTGCGATCGAAGCTGTAAAGTTGGCGAACCGGAGCCGCGAGGTTGATCGATTTTCGAGGGAGGAGTCGCTGCAAGTGGCATTCACGAGAAACCTAAAAAAGTAAATCTGCATTTGAACTTAATCCTTGATTGTGCCACGCCTCCTCCTTTTTTCTCTCTTTTCGCCCTGGTCCCGAAACTTTCTTCCTCCTCCTCCTCCTCCTCCTCCTCCTCCTCCTCTTCCTGCATCTCTTGGTCTTTCTCGAATGGTAGGTTGTTCGGGCCACAGGCGTTGCCCATCTCGCGCCATCATTTAAGTAAATTACCGGCTTGCCGCGCAAGAAAGGACACTGTTGTATGGTCACCATTATTTTCCGTATAACTCGTATATGTACTCCTCTTTTTCGAGTTCCGGTGACGCGTTCTTTCCTCGTACGTTCTCGGGAACGCCAGTTGGCCGCTCTCGGCGAAAGAGAAATGGCGAGCATAGGGAGAGTCGGGTGGCAAAGGAATTGCTAAAATTGCTGAAATTGCTAAAATTGCTAAAATCTTTGGAATAGGATAAAGGAAAGGCGTGACGATGGATCTCGGAAGCTCGGAGTTGCGCGTGTTGCGCGTCCTCGGGTGGAAAGCGGTGGAGAAAAATGGCTGACAGTGCGCGGCGCGGCTGACATTTGCCCGCACGTTTATCGCGATAATACGGCTTTAGGTCAGAGGGTGTGGCCTGGCCAGATTGATTCGGCGAGCTCGCTTCTGCGCGCTACGCTTCGTTACCGCGATCGCTATGGCCGCTTTCCTTGTCACGGCTTTTCATTCATCTTTCGCCTTCCATTTGCCGCGAGAGCCGATAAATAGACCGAACGATAAAGCTGTCGCTATACGCTCGTTCGATACATCCGACCATTCGCTTCCCGTAATTATGATATACGAATGGAGAATTTTCCTTCGAGACCGTCCGCTTCGCCACTGTTTACTCGAGTAGCTAGCAGCCCTCTGTTGTTTCGCGCGTTTTCTTCTCTTTTATCCGGCCGCGAGTAGATATGCCGTCTTACCGTTAGAACGATTTTCGTTTCTCTCTTTGGATCGATCTTAGCCGGCGGATCTCGAGCCGAGCAGCACGCGCGTACGCGGTATACCTCTCTTGGCTCGGTTAATCTTCGCGGAGAGATTAATCGAGAAGGAATCCGCGCTCCGCGCGAATCCAATCGTGTACGGTCTTTACGCGGAAAGACGGAAAAGGCCGCGAATGAGATAATTAATCGTGACGGTAAATGTGGTAAATGGGAGCAGAAGGCGCGCGCGATCGCGCGTGTGCGCCAGCGGGTTTCTTTGTCAGCCGTTGAGGCCGCGAGGCCGCGAGGCCGCGATTGGTCGGAATAAAAAATACTAGGCGGCACGAGCGAACACGGATGGAAAGGTTTTTCATCTTGCACGCCAGCTCCGATGACGACGCGCTATCTATCGACGGCGTGGGTGTTCGTTCTCGCTCTGACAGATTCGAAAACGCATTATTAACACCGACGGCCCTGACTCTATGATTACGCGCATTAATAGCCGGATGGACGAACTTTGCTCGCGCTCCGCACTATCATTATCGCAACGCGAGAAAGAAACCGACGACGAATCGAGAGACACGTTCGAACCGAGTTGCGAACGGCCGCAGGAGAAGTGGAGAGGAAGAGAAGAAGAGGAGAAGAAGAGGAGAAGAAGAGGAGAAAAGCGAGAGTGCCGGAGGAGCAGCGTTCGAAAAAGAATAACGAGAGCCATCGAAATCTCCGCGTAACGATCGATTGTATCGCGATTCGATCGAACCGCGCCAGTCGCGTGCTTCCGATTCGCGCGCAATTATTTACGCGCGGTAATTGCACGCGGATTCGAAGCTTTCCGCGTTTTCTCCCAACGCCACGGCGAACCACGCGGATCCAGAGATACAAGGCCATTTTCTTTTTTCTTCACTTTCCTCCGTTTCTTTTTTTAACGCGCGACCTAACAATACGATTCGAAGGCAGCAGTTTGCGATCGTTGTTGGTTATTTTATCGATGAACGCGTACCAGAGCTCACATCCATCCTGCTCGAGACGATATGGCATTTAAATATAATGTTTCGCGCGCAAGCGCGCATATCGTACCTCGCTACAAACTCCTTTTCAAATTGCATATCAGGTACGATCGAGTGTTGCGAGTATACCAATCTTCTGACGATGAATAATTCATTGTGTAAATAATTCATAAATCGCTATATAAGCTTGCCGGACGGTGAGCCAGAATCGTTCAAAAATTTCCGATGAGAATTTTTTTAATCGATTCGTCAATTTTCATCGCGATTCTTTTCGTTCTTCCGTGCGGTTAATGGAAAACTTGGCCGATCGTCGTCGAAGCGTGGCTCGCTTACCTGTCGCGCGTTCCTGCCGATGATTTTTATCGTTCACGGCGTATCGTTTCGATTTTCCAACGATCTTTCGCTAATAACCGTATCGCGTTTGAGTCGCAACGTTCAGGGTTAGTTTAACCTGTCGTATCTGCGATCTCGCTACGTTCTGCCGCCAACTCACCGATCTATACCGCAGTAGGCATTCTTTACGCCTCGATAACGACCGCGACCCACGACGATGACGTTTAAAAATTCACCTTACGTATTCCATACCGTTTCTTTCCATCCGCGTCGTAACGGACCTCTCGAGGTGCTTCGAAATTCCTCCGAGTGAACTTTTAAAGTTCACGCGCTTCTCCTCTCTCCTCTTGCAGAAAACAGGCAAAACAACGTATTTTCTTGCTATATCTGACTAACTAACATCGTTATCGCTCATCCAACGAATCGATGGTCGCGTTTCGATCAAACTCGCGGTGACTTTATCTATCGTTCGGTGACCACCCTTTCGTCCATTTTTAACCTCCAAGAGTCGGCATGGAATCGAAGAAGGGAGAGACATATGTGTGTGTGTGTGTGTGTGTGTATAGAGAGAGAGGGGGGGGGGGGATTCGATACGTTACGCGATGTACGCGAGGAGAGTATACGAGCAATGATCGAAAGCGTGGAGAAATCGAAGAGTCTCGAGGAGTCGAGAGCACGGGACGGTAAGGTAAAGCAAGGGAAGGAAAGGGAGGGAAAGGGAGGGAAAGGGAGGGAAAGGGAAGGAAAGGCAAGGCACGGCACCGCACCGAACGGCACACGAGGGCGGTGTTGCGCGTGTACAAATCATGCAAAGAATGACGCGGCATCGGCCCGCTCCCTCCCATCTTCGAGACGAAACTGTGCTGTCTCTACCCTCCTTTCTCTCTTTCTTTTCGTCTTCTTTCCCTTCCCTCCGGCTGTGCTATATGCATCATAGAACTGCCATTGGAGGCGCGCGCGCGCGCGCGCGGTATAGGAGACCTCATGCTGCACAGCCCTCGATGCGTTCGTTGCATATTAACCGAGAACAACGTGCCGCATGCGCTTTCGTGAATCACCATATCGCAAGTCACCCGCTCGTTTACCCGTTCGCTGCTTGCTTAACCTACTCCGACTCTGACTCTGTTCCTTCGTGCCACCTCTTGGACCGTGTCTATCCTTCCACACTCCAGACCCTACCCTTTCCGCGAACTCGGCTTTCTTCGGAACCTCGGTTCGTTTGCTCGGATCACCGATATCCGAGCGACGATGGACCGAGCGAAACGACCGGCCCGAATCTCTCCGAGATAACTCGCCTCGCGTACAGCCTTTCCAATTTCCCTGGTTTTCCGACGCGTCGCGATACGCGAGAACAAACTGGTATTCTCGACCTTGTCCGTCTTCTATTTCCAGCAGACGTCGGACCTGGACACGTTTCTCTGTAGACAGGATCTCGACCGACTGCAAAAGTACGAGGATGACGACCCGGAAAAGGAGTCGAGGGAGCCCTCGGTGCAGATGGAGGACTTTTTCGAGGTCGGAGGGCCGGCGTGTCGGCCACAAGCGAGCTTCGTCTCGTCGAGGAGTCAGTCCGCGGGAAACGACGACGACGTGTTCCTCAGGCCGCCGTTATGGGAGGACATCACCTCGAGTATACAGAAGCTCGATCCGGAGAACGCGGACATGTTGGGTTCGCAGTCGCACGTAAAGATGGAGACGGACGACGTGGCCTCGCCGGTACTGTCGCCGGTCGAGATCAAGACGGAGCCGCTACCTCCGCCACCGACCTTGCACCTCCTCGAAGGTCCCGCTTCGAATTCGGTGTCCACGTACGCGAACGGTCATCCGAATCCGTCCACCGGCCCGCAAGTCGTCCACCATCGGACACCCTCCACCGCCTTCAAGACTTTTCCCTCCAACAACAACAACAACAACAACAACAACAACAACGTCGGTAGCAACAGTAACGGCAACAACAACAGCAACAGCAGTAGCGGCAACGGCAATAGCAACGGCAACGGGACCGGGAACAGCAACAACAACAACGCCAACGGCATAAGCAACAACAGCGGGAACGGAAACAGCAACAATAACAACAACAACAACAACAACAACAACGATTCGACGACGAGTCATCACGGAGGTGGGAATCAGATCGGTGGCAGCGCGACGTCACCGCTTTACGGTTCGATGACTAGGTTAATGTATATTTCCCCGCTGACGCCGCCGATTTCCGATCCTGGCTCCCCGATAGGGGCCCCGCCGAGACGGACACCGCCTCCACCCTATCCCCAGCCGCCCATTATGAATCCGCCTCATCGGATTCAACCTCCGACCATCACTACCAAATTCAATAGGCGGAACAACCCCGAGTTGGAAAAGAGACGCGTTCATCACTGTGATTTCATAGGTAAGTGTCTTGGAGCACGTCGCGGTGCGTCTTACGATATACCTATACGAATATATATGTATATATATATATATATATATATATACATATATCTGTTCTCGCGGAGTGCTCTTTTATCCACAGCGGATCCGTAATAGTACGCGTAGTCGATCGGATGACGCGATGCTTTCAGAGAAACGGTAACAACGCTCACTTGGTACTGGTAACTATTTCGTTTTGCAGGTTGTACAAAGGTCTACACGAAGAGTTCGCATTTAAAGGCGCATCAGCGGATACACACGGGTAAGTCGATCGTTTTCGTCGAACGTTCGAGCGTTACCGGACGATCGCGCGCGGCTCGAATGCGTTTTAAGGGAAAACGGGTACGCGTATTCGCGCGTCGGTGGTGGAAAGAAGGAACGACCGTGGAAATTAGATATGTAGCTCATCTACGAAGCGAAACGAAGCGTTTGAAAGCGCGAGGTCGGGCACTCGGCGTGGGCAGGGCGCGGTTCTCGCAGCCTCTCCTTCTTCCCAACCTCCTTCTTCGTTTAACCTTCGTCTCTGTCCGTCTTTCCGTCCGCCTCTCTGTTTTACCTTCTCTCTTCCTCCTGTACCTCCTCCTCCTCCTCCTCCGCCGCCGCCGCCACCTTACCCCCGGGAGTCCCTCTCTCTTCCTCGCGCTCGTACAGTCTCCAATCTTTCCGTCCGTGTGCGCGGTGTCGCGCAAAGGAGCCTCTATCATATGTAAACGTATAAGGAACGCACGAAGCGTGGTATGCGACACTCCGCTTCGTAGACTCGGAGCTAGCGACCCACATCCTGTCCGTATCCAAACACGCTGCTCGCTAACGCGCTCGTACCTACACCTACGTGTATTTGTACACGGTCGAGCATGAAAGGAGTTTCTGGCTGTCCGCTAAAGTCACGCTGAATCTTCTCTGAGGCTGTCGCGCGGTCCGTCCGTCGTCGCTCGATCGAGCATCGATGTCTCCGCGCGCGACCGTCCAACCGGCCTCATCCTCCGACCACTCTGTATCCGGCAACGGAGCGAACCGCATACGCCGGAGAAATTTATGCGCGAAACGGTATAACGCCGCGTACCTTCTTATAGGGGATTAACTCGATCCGTGAAAAACGATCAGTCCCGGCGAAGCGGCGAAGCAGCGAAATGAGAGATTTGAGAAAGGATGGTACGAGAAAGACGATTTGGCTCGTGGAACGGCAAAGAGGAGGGCGGTTCAGAGGACGCAAAGTTGGCAGACGTTCACCGGCTATGTAAACGCGGGCAGGAACGCGAAAGCGGCCATACACGCGTGCAGAAACGCGTATATTCTCGTGGATAAGAACGAGAGGGGGGGGGGGGACGATAGATGCACGCGTGCCCACTCGACAACCTCTCGCGGAATGTCTGCTGAGAGAGGCGTCCGAACAGCGATGTACCACTTTCCAATTGATAACGCGAGGTTTTGCTGTAACTCGTCGTCGCGTTGCACCTTTTATCGCGTTTTACCAACTATCGGAGAACCTTCGCTTCTAACGAGCTTCGTCTCGATTCGACGAAATCGAAGCGGGCTGGTCCAGCTATGCCGCTTCCGCGTCTTCCACTTTGCTTCTCTCGTTCCGCGCATCGATCGTGCCGAGCTAGCGCATGTCTCGTCCGATTTCATCGAGAGATTCCAACGATCGCTCGAGAACGGAGCGATTATCCTGGTTTACTTTTGTCGTAACGTTGGCGAAAATGCGGCGAGTATCAGCGGTTATCGCGTTAGCCCAGTTCTCGATTCGCCATCGATTCGCCATCGATTTGTGGAAATTCCAGCTGGAGATTCGGTTTTGCGAAGCACGAGGGAAAAGAAACGACCAGGGGGCGTATTCGAGCGCGAAAGATGAATCGCGAGGGGTAAAGCGCAGTGGCGTAGTTAGCGGGTCGAGAGCCTCGGGCACGTGGCTCTCGTCTTGAATGAACCAGCGTCGAACCGCTTGGTGGCATAGGTCTCCGCGAGTCCGGCATTCACCGGTTGTCCTCTGGTCCGATGCACCTCGACACACACGCGCGTATACACGTGTGCTCGCGTCTCTCCCGTCTGGTCCCGTCTCGGTCCCGTCTCGGTCCCGTCTCGGTCCCGTCCCATCCCGTGCCCTGTCCCGTCTCGAGCGTCTCGAGAAAAGAATATCGGCCGATCGCTCGTAAATTATATACCGTCCAAGGTGGAACGTCTATATTCGAGGATTGTTCGACCGGTCGTGAACGAACGTCGATCGATTCTTGGATCAACGCGAAGGTATTACGGCGCGCTTAGTATTCCGCTAATGTATTCGAATGCGTTATACCGCGTGTAAGCCGTACACGTTGCGTGCTTCTTAATAGGAAAATTTCGTGCGCGTCCACCGATTTCAGGGTTTCGCGCGAGACAACCTTGGAGAATCGTTCTTTTTTATTCTCTCTCTCTCTCTCTCTCTCTCTCTCTCTCTCGCAGCCGCTTGGGACAGATGTTATCGAAATTATAGGCGAAACACGGGATTCGCCACGCGACGAGATAAAAACGATCCTCTCGAGGTAGCTTCGCGTCGCGATAAAGGAAAGAAACGGCCTCGGAACCCGGAACGACCCGATTAGACGCTTCTAAAATGCCTTTCGAAAATATCGATCGGTCGCGACGAAAATTCTCGTCTCGTTCGCAGCGGCATGCATAAAATCTCGGAGGTCCAAGAAACTCTCGCGAGACGAGCCATATGTACTTACGTACATGCATGCGTGTGTGTACGTATGTATATACGCGAGATGAAGCGTACGCGTACCGTTTCTCGCGATACACCCGTCGCAGTCTACCATTCGACACGCGAATTTCTCGCCGGTTACTCTAGATAAAGGTTAATTTCGCGCTTTCGAAACAAAACGACGAAACAATTTCTCAAGAAAGAGACACGAACAGAGAGAAAGAGAGAAAGATTTTCGAAAGACGTCGATACGTACGACGGCACTCGGTTTCGCATACATTCGCAGGAGGTCAGAGTCTCTCCGTGTTGGTAGCAATTGGTCTCGATTGGTATGATCGATGAACGACGAGCGAATGTGAAAGAATAAACGAGAACGGGCAATTGTGGACGAGTGTCAATTGTTTCCGAGAGCGAGCGAGCGTGGTGTGGAAAAAAAATGAAATATCCACGTGGAAACTTAACCTCTAACACTCCGGTTAGGTTAGGTTAGGTTAGGTTAGGTTAGGTTAGGTGGAAGAGGAAGACGCAACGCGTCGCGCGTGCATATGTACATACTTAGGTAGGTACGCATACGCAGTGATATAGGCAGAGTAGGTAGACGGTACACGCGGTCTGGCGCACTCGTGCGTATGTAGAGACAACCGATTGGCACGTATGCGAGGAGAAGTCTCACGGTGTAGGGTGCGCGGACACGAGGCGAGCAACATTCCTGCATCCATGCTTTCAACTTTGGCAACCTTCTAGCTTGCTGCGCGTTTGCCCGCTGTCGTTTTACCGGCTTTAAAACCCGACGATCGGCCTTTCCCGGCGGAACCTTCGCGATCGCGGCTTCTAACGGTGTTGCTCGATCGTTAAAACGAGCAACGAGCAAAGTCGAGGAGGAAATAACGGGTGGAAACGACGACGAGAGAGGAAGAAGAATCGTTGTCCGATGGACGAGAAGCGGTGCTAGAGAGGACGTATACGAGAGTTTCGAGAGCGAGTTGTCGGATCGTGAGACGTTGCGAATGGCAAGCACCGGTGTACCGCGGTGAAAGTGATCCGAAATTAACGGGGACGCCTCGAGGTTCGTAGGCGTCGTCGTCGTCGTCGAGCCAACGGGCACACGCGATTCAACGGATACGTTCAACATCTGGAACGTTATCAACCTCGTAAAAACGCGCTCGTGTCTTTTTCGTTTCTCTCGTCTTTTGTCCATCGCGTCCATCGGGTCCGTCGGGTCCGTCGGGTCCGTCGGGTCCATCGGGTCCAACGGGTGAATCGCGTCCTATCGCGACGTTGTTCACTCTCGATGTGGAAGCGGGAGAAAGAAAGAATTCGCGCTGTAAACGCAATCCGTTGGAAATGGAGGATGAAACGTGTTCCGAGGTGGGAACGCGTGGCCGCGTGGAGAAGATCGGCGAGAAAAACGAGAAGAAGATGGGAGAAAAAGGGAATTGGCGTTAAACGCGAGTTATTCCTTGAAAGCGAGAAAAACTGGATGCAACGGGCTTGTACGATCCGATGGTAACCGATCGAATGACTTAATAATACGAGTACACTGGCCAATTAGACGACGACACGCGCCGAACAGCTTTGCTTCTCTATTTTTATCGCGATCGATTTATGCGCGCAGGATCGTCGTTCCGTCTCTCTCTCTCTCTCTCTCTCTCTCTCTCTCTCTCTCTCTCTCTCTCTCTCTCTCTCTCTCTCTAGCTGCCGGCCGATTAATTCTCGCGATCGCGAAGGATAAGCTCGCTCGCTCGCGCGTGCACACGGCGTGAAACGATCCATCGATTCCCACGAATCTCGCGAGACTCGCGTCAGCGAGGAAACGCTACGAACGAAGGAGACACGCGACAGAGACGACTAGTGGTAAGAAAAAAAGCTATTACCGGAAAGCTGCTCGGAGTTAGGTCCTTTTCTCTACGCCGCGGCCGACACGACGCGACGCGATGCGACGCGACGCGACGTCTCGAAGAAATCGCCGCGGAATTCTCATGAACGAGCAATACCGTGAATGGATGCCGCTCGTGGTGGTAATACCGATTGTATGGGAGTCGTGCGTGTGGCTAAGACCGGTTGGGGTCGTCTCCATAGCGAGACCGAGCCGTTCCGTACAGCGGAACGAGTCACCGGTATGCGTGGGCGTATTTCTCAGCTATCGAGCCTTCTCGCTCGCTATTTTCCGACGCGAGCCTATAGTTTTATTACCTCTCGCAACCATTTTTCTCCGTTCTTCGCGAGATTCCACGCATCCAGAACTATTTTCCACGCGGCTCTACCCAAAATCCCATCTTCCATCAGCTCTTTCCTCCTTTTCCTTTTTCTTTTTCTTCTGCTTCTCCTCTTTCTTTCGTCTTGCCTGGTTTATCGCGAGCCACGTAGAGCGCGAGGTATACCGAATTGGTCGGTAGTCGGTCGGACTGGAGAAGTAATCGGAATGCGCGAAAGCTACGAAAGAACCGGGCAACCGAGAGCGATCGTGGGATCCGAGCTCTGTAGCGAATACCTGTTTGTTGACAACAGACGCACGCGCGTTCGCGCGCGAGTGCGCGTGCGAGTGCGCGTGCGGCTCGGTGAAACTCTCGTCTAAACAGCGTTTCCCGCGTCAGCTGTGAAAAGACACGCTCGGCCAAGTTAATTAGTACGCGTAATTGGAACGCGAGTAGACGGAGCGCGTTTCGAGTTACGCTCGTCGTTATTAGGCTCGTCGTCAGATCGCTGGTATTTACTCGCGGTCACGAGCTTTATCGTTAGTCGCAGGACTATTCGCGGAAAGGTGATCGATCGGCGGTTAAACGGTGTCTGCGCCTACAAAGTCGTAATTAACAGTTGCCGTGGTAAAATCGCGATTACGGAGGACGCGCAAGGATAGGAAAGGAACGCGACTCGCGAAACGATATCGCGGTGGAAAAGGGGAGAGGAAGGAGGAGAGAGAATTTTGGAGATTGGAGGCGTGGGGGAGGGCAAGGAACGAAATCGGTGTGCAACGGTGCACGATTATTCCGCGGTCGGTAGGTAGAGGTAGTTGGGCCAAGGAAAGGGACCTATTGAAGAACAAAGCGGCGCTGCTCTTTGCGACGGCGATAGGTATACGAAGAACCTTAGGCTACGAGAGATGCCGCGTTGACCTTTAACTGTACCCGCATGCCGCAATACGCTCACCTGTATTCTAGCGCAATCCGTTCGCGTTCTCGCAGCACCGATCCTGCTTCGCTCTTACTCCTGCTCCTGCTTCTGCTCCTGCTTTTGCTCTTCGCCTCGCCTCGCCGTGCCGCGCCGCGCCGCGCCTCGCCTCGTCTCGCCTCGCCCCGCCCTGCCCCGACAACTGTCCTCGCCTCTCCTCACCTGGCCTCGCCATGCTGCCACTCGCTCCATCTCGCCTAGCCTCGCTTCGTTGCAACCGAGCCAACGGTCCCGAGATGCATACGCTTCGAGTCCAGTTAACTTTTCTCCATCGCGAAAACTACGCCTTCCTCCGAGCGAAATCACGCTCGAACCCGTTAAGCCGGGCAACGCGCGTTACGCGCGCCAACCCTGCGACAACCTTTGCCCCCGGAGAAAATTATCTTTGCTCGACCGCGTTATCGGTCGGACGCGATTCGCGGGTAGCTCGCGTTTGCGTCCACTTCCAAATTCCTGTCGGCTGTCCGCGCAACGGTATACAGCGCGTCGTTTTGTGCCGCGTTTCGCATGCGAATGCAAAAAATCGCCGAGACTACGCCTCCAGTGAAAGTTGCGAAGCATCGATACGCATTGTACCCGTTTTTGTTCCAGGTGAAAAACCGTACCAGTGTCAGTGGCCAGAATGCGAATGGCGATTCGCCAGGAGCGACGAATTAACTCGTCACTATCGAAAGCACACCGGTGCGAAGCCCTTCAAATGTGCCGTGTGCGAGCGGTCCTTCGCCAGGAGCGATCACCTCGCCCTCCATATGAAACGGCATCTTCCCAAGCAGCACGCCAAGTGACCGTACCGCTCTTATTCGTCTTCGTCTTCGTCTTCGTCTTCGTCTTCGTCTTCGTCTTCGTCTTCGTCTTCGTCTTCGCCTTCGTCCTCGTTCCCCTCTTCGTCGTATGACTCCTCGAATGCGCACCTTCTTCACCACGCTGATCTCTTCGAATTTCTGCCAGCTTATCCGGAAGTAACTCGCGGACTCGATTTTCTTTTTTGATTAACCTGCAATTTCGATACTTTATCTCCGATCGTTCCTCTCCAAATCTTCTCCATTTCGGTTTCTCGACGTTTAGTTCAAAGTCGTTATCTTCCGCGTGTCATATTTGCGCGATAATAAAGGTTCGCGGTAAAGAAGAAACAAATCGTTCGATTGATCTCGACGAAACAAAAGATCATCCAAGGATTTTCATAGTTTCGATCGCGATGATCATCGAGTTAATGGCTTGCTTACGGCTCGTAGTTACGAATACGTTGTTCGTATTCGTTCGCTCGATACGATGAAAATATCGTGCACGTATATACAAGCAGTGGCGATTGTAGTGGCTGGTTCACTGTCGTCTCTACTGGCTCTCCCTCTCTCTCTCTCTCTCTCTCTCTCTCTCTCTCTGCTGCCCGGTGTTTTCCGCTCTTTTACGACCATTTCGTATAAACGAAGACGATAAGTATAAATCGCGTTAAACGTCGAGACTCTGGATTTTTGCGGTTCAGTTTCGTTCGTTGTCCGAATTGCGTGAAAGAAAGAAGAAGAGAAACGAAAAAGATTTCCTTCGAGACGCGACGAGACGAAATTCGAAAACGAGACTACCCGTGTTCGTCTACGATATCGCGCGAGATTCTTGGTAAGAAAATCGGTCAAACGCGAGTGCCACGGTTTACGCGAGAGGCATGGTTCTAGACGAAGCCAACGTAAACACGGGTCGGCCTCGTGGTTAGTTTTCGCCGATGTCTTCCTGTCTCAGTTACGTGTTATTCTTCGCGGCGTTCGAACGAAACGGCTCGACGTGTGAGACCGATTGTGTTGTTGATCGAGGCACGCGCCATCGGAACTTGAATCGTAAGACAAGTAGTTAACGATCGTTCTTTTCTTTCTCTTTAAAGTTACGATTTCATTTTCCACGCGATTCACGCTAACGGAATTGTTCGCGCGCACAGTGAAACTCTGCGCGCTCCCGCGAGAGTGCGTTGTCCGCGCGAATAATTGGCAAATAAGAGGTTAATCGAACGCGACGAATCGCCGAGTGATTCGATCAGCGAGACATTGCGGCGCAAGTTCTATTGTTTCGAGAGGATGCGAGTAGTTTTAAGGAACTGTATCGTTACCATGCTCGTCGGCGGTAAGTGTTTAAAAATTCCTCTTCCCTGTCTATCCGATCCGCGCGGAACCGAACGGTGAAAATGGAGCGAATGTCGGGACGCGCGGCGTAGTCGGACGCGAGAAAGGATAAACCTTTCGCGGGTGCTACGACGAGTATCAACGGCATCTATTTTGGATTAACTTAAGCGAGCACGCAATAGCGAGGGGGACCGTCTGTGAAAGAGTGCGAGCGTCGACGAGAGAATTATTCGCGTGGAATCGTTCCGAAGGAAATCCAGTTAATTTATTAGTCCGTGTACATAACGATCGCATACGTACGTCTGCGTAACGAGTGGACGTGTCAGGCAGCCGTTTCGGCCACGACTTTCCGTCGCTCGCATTCCTTTGCATCGAACCCCCTCCGTTCCGCAACGAGGAGTCTAGAGGTTCTTTCCAACGATCGCGAAATCCATAACCACGTTCTCCACCGCGATCCACGCGAGAAAGAATCCACCTATTATAGTGATGCCTTATGTACAAATTCGTATAGATACGTCTCCTATATGTATATCTCTCTCTCTCTCTCTCTCTATATATATATATATATATATACACGTATATGCATGCACGTATAACCATACGCGAATATACGTATACGTGTATATACGTATAAATATATGTATAATCGTCGAGAAACTGTCACGTCGCATTCTCTGCGGCTGAAAAGTTATGCACTTTTGCGTGTGTATACGTGTAAAAAAGCGATGCATATCCAATACTTATGTAGTTAGTGTAATATTATCTGTATAATATGCGATTTAAATATTCGAATCGACTTCGCGTTCGCGTTCGTCGATTCCACGATTTTATCGATTATCTTATTTACATTCGCGAAATGTGGTGCGCGTAGATATACTACGATAGAAAGACAAAACGACAATTTCGCTTAGTCGTGAGTTTAAAAATGAAAAAAAAAAAA